CCGCCATTATCCTTAGACGTACATTTCTTTTTCTCTTTTTTAGTTATCATCAAATCATCATTCATTCTATCATTTTTAACTTTATCAACATATATTTATGTCCTTTTCTCTCTCTCTCTTTCTCTCTACTTTTTTCTCTCTCTCTCTTTCTCTCTACTTTTTTCTCTCTTTTCTTCTTTCTCTCTCTCTCTTTTTCCCTCTCTCTCTCTCTTTCTCTCTTTCTCTCCCTCTCTCTCTATCTCATAATCATTTTTGTCATCATCGTCATCATCGTCTTTAAAGCAGCCGTCTTAATTTGGGCAAAAACATTGGCAACCATACGAACGCAATGAATGTCAGTGATGATGGCGATGATGTCGAAGCTATAATGATAATAATAATGGTAATAATAATAACTATTATTATCATAACAATAATAACAATAATGATGATGATGATAATAATAAGGGTGTTGATGTAATGATTTGTTGCAAAATTAATAGTAACAGTGTCAGCAATGGTAGTAATAGTTGCATCATTATAACTAGTAGCAGTGAGAGTAGAACTAGTAGTCGTAATAGTAGTAGTAGTAGTAGTAGCAGTTGTAGTAGTAGTAGTACTAGTAGTAGTAGTGGTTGTAGAGTGCAATGGTTTAGGCATAGATAACATGAGCAGCTCATTATAACATCCAGCCAGCAACTGACTACCCATCCTATTTCCATAGGCATACGCTTTTCCAATGCAGCTATTATCATCATCGTCATCGTCGTCGTCATCATCAGGAATGTATTTCGGCAATCACAATTATCTTTATTGAAGCTACAATAACAACGACTCATATCGAGAACGTCATCATCGTCATCATTTAATACTAATAGTCGTAGTCGTAGTAGTAGTAGTAGTAATAGTAGTAGTAGTAGTAGTAGTAGTAGTAGTAGTAGTAGTAATAGTAGTAGTAGTAGTAGTAGTAGTAGTAAAAGTAGTAATGGTGATAGTTGTAGTAGTAGTAGCAGCAGTAGTAGTAGTAGTAGTAGTAGTAGTAGTAGTAGTAGTAGTAGTAGTGGCTGTGTAAGTAGTGTTGGTATTTTTACAAAAGAAAGCATTTGTTTTTATAAGTAATATGGGACAATCCTTCAAAAAATAATGTTGAATTCCGAGTTGCATAATTAAATTTCTCATGTTTTAATAAAGAAACGAGCAAGAAGATGAAATGATCTAAAATTTCACCATCCATTCAAAATTCCGCAATAATAAATAATGATAGTACTATTACTACAACAACAACTACTAATAATAATAATAATGATAATAATAAAAATAATGAAAATATAAAAAGTAGTAGTACTTGTTGTAGTAGTAGTAGTAGTGATAATAGTGATAATAGCGGTAATTTGATGATAATGATATATGGTGAAGCCATTATCACAGAATATACTCTCAGTTGTCTTTTTATGGTGATTAATAGCCGTTCATGAAAATAATTCTCCAAATCTATATCACTTTCATTACCATCTTCCTCATCATCTTCATCGTCATCTTCATCATCATCTTCATTATCATCTTCGTCATCATCTTTCTCACCATCTTCATCATCATCTTCGTCATCATCTTTCTCACCATCTTCATCATCATCTTCGTCGTCATCTTTCTCACCATCTTCATCATCATCTTTGTCGTCATCTTCGTCATCATCTTCATCATCATCATCTTCATCATCATCTTCGTCGTCATCTTCGTTATCATCTTCATCATCACTTTCTCATCAATACATTCACATCCACTATCAAAATCAAGATAATCTGTTTTGATTAATGAGATTATTTTTTAACATTCATTGCTTCATTAATCAAAAGCTTTCACCATAGACATTAATGCCTATCCGACCCGTTATCAACCGTCAACTCTCATTCGTTGTATCTCTTTGATAATAATTAGCCAACATATATTGCTAAGTTTCGGTAGACAATAACAAGGTTGCCAAATACTTCCAGTTTTTTGGTCCCATCCATGTCAAAGTTTTGCCCACCCGTCAAAGTTTTTCAGATCCGCCCTTGCATGCGATTATTAATGTTTCTCTCTCTTTCTCTCTCCCTCTCTCTCTCTCTCTCTCTCTCTTTCTATCTCTCTTTTCCTCTCTCTATCTCTTTCTTCCTTTTTCTCTTTCTTTCTTCCTTTCTCTCTCTATCTCTCTCTCTCTCTCTCTCTCTCTCTCTCTCTCTTTCTCTCTCTCTCTCTCTCTCTCTCTCTCTCTCTCTTCTAACATTAATTTAAACGTCAGATCAATTGGAAATAACAATAGATGATATGAGAATTAATATTGCAAATTAAAATGAATACATTTTTATTGTAAAAGTTGTAATTATATCATAGAAAGTATAAAAGACACGTTATAATTTACCCAACACTGCCAAAACATTCTATCGCCCGAAAAGTTAATGACATAAATATCATCATTTGTCATATTTATTATCCAAAAACCATAATAGTATTAATAAAATTGTTAATATTACTTCATAAATATTAAATAATAATAATAGTAATAATAATAATATTATTATTATAATTATTTCATAATTGCCGAATAATGTTCATGGGGAAAAAAAATATGGAAAAACTAACAACATGACGACTCTTATCCTTTTGATGGCTGGTGCATTAATATTACATTAATGGAGGCATTACAAGAGACTCGGATACATTAACGTTCGCCTAGGGAATCCACAAAATATGGATACACTATCATTGTAATCATAAAAATATCACTATCTCACAATATGGATACACTATCATTGTAATCATTATACTATCACTATCTCACAATATCATTGTAATCATTAAACTATCACTATTTCACAATATGGATACACTATCATTGTAATAATTAAACTATCACTATCTTACAATATGGATACACTATCATTGTAATAATTAAACTATCACTATCTTACAATATGGATACACTATCATTGTAATCATTATATTATCACTATCTCACAATATGGATACACTATCATTGTAATCATTATATTATCACTATCTCACAATATCATTGTAGTCATTAAACTTTCACTATCTCACAATATGGATACACTATCATTGTAATCATTATACTATCACTATCTTACTATCATCTTTCTTATCATCATTATTATTATTATTATTACAGTTATCAATATCAGCCACAGAGCTTTGGTTATCGCCAGGCGTGTCATTATCACAATAATTTGTGACTGTAAACTTTTGATTAATACGTTCCTACTTGGTTAATATGCATATGTATGTAATGTGAGTTCTGTACTGTTGAGTTGTACTGGGTTATACGTAATGTCTTCTACTGTGAGGATTTGTAATATTTTATTTTGGGTGCGTGTGCGTGTGTGTGTGTTGTACGTGTGTGTGTGTGTGTGTGTGTGAGCGTACAATAACATAATTAATTACGTTTATTCGTTCGTTCGTTCGTTTGTTCATTCATTCATTCATTCTTCCATTCATTTCAATTTTTAATATTTTAATTGAAATTTCTCTTGGCATTTTATCTTTATTTTTTTTTAACATTTTTTAACGATTAGTCATTGATTTTGATATTTCAATTTATTTCTTTTTTTTTTGTTTAAAAACAAATTTTAATTTGTAGAAAATTTTTTTCAATTTGTTTTGAATGTGCACGTGATTATGCTTGCATGATTTATTATCTTTGCAAAGACATCAAAGCAAATGTTACATTCTGCTCGGCATCATCATTCTTCCTTTTATCACTCACTGTCATCATCATCATCATAATCTTCATCATCCTCATCTTCATCATTTTCATCATCATCATCTTCTATGTATACGTGTTCTTATTTAGCAAATTTTAACACAGTGATTTTAATTATATATCAAAACGAGCGAGGCATTGTACGGAAAAAAATATCTACATGTGTTTGTGTATGTATGTTTTTGTCTGTGTGTTTGTTTATATATTTGTGTGTGTGTGTGTCTCTGTATGTGTCTGTGTTTGTCTTGTTCTAGGAAAACTTATCTGAAGGAACAAATGTTTCCAGCTCTATAGCATGCGCTTCTTGGCCAGATGATAACAGAAAGAAAAAGTGTATTAGAAGTGTATTTCATTCATCATGTGAGCAAGCATTTTCAGTTTGACGTGTACATGCATTTATTCCACGCTTGCGTTTTCAAATTTGTTTTTTCCAACTAATAGATGGAAATTGTGTCTAGTTATATGTATGAAACTCTATTGATATTAAGTTATTCACTCAATTTATCATAGATGGGCTGCTATCTGAATGATGTCCCGTCTGTTCAATTGCTCTGTGTTGTGGCGTTCCTTGGACGGTTTGCTGATTTATGTGAAAATATCTCTGATAAAATAATGTTTTCTGATTTGTTCAAAGAATTTTTATCTTCACTAAAAACTTTTTTATTTTTTTTAGTTGCTGGTTTGAGTTACTGTAAAGTTGGTTGGTTGAAACAGCTTGCTATCAAGCCAGACATTGGGGATGTTAAAAAATAAATTATTCCTCCAAACGTTTTTATTAACTATTCAAAGAGCTTCCAACCTTAAAGAAATAAATTCAACTGGCATTGAGAAATTTATCAGTCAAATTTGTTGGAGCGAGACGAACATTTTCGAATCGAACGATCAGTTTGTCTTGCTTGCCTTCCATGTGCTTAAATTTTGTCTAAATATTTTTTTCAACAGACTTTTAATTAAATTTTAACTTATTTATTTTATATTTTTAAATAATAAATAAATAAAAATAATTCATAGAACAAAAATAACAAGCGATAACGAAGATCCATCATACTAAGACCATATTGCTGATAATTTTTATAGCAAATTTAATCAAGGGCAGACTAATCCATCAGAGAAAATCTTTTACTCATTCCTTTAATCTCTTTACATTTATCAGCCGTATCGCCTCCTAATTTTGAATAATACTCGCGTTTTTAAACATTTTTTTCCGTCTTTAAAACATTAATTCATTTTTTTTTATTGATATAACCCCCACGTAAAAAATTAATAAGAGAATATTTTATAATTTTATTTTGAAAGGTTTATTTTAGCAAAAGCCGTGCATTAGAAACATTGCAATTCATGGTGAATATCCTTACAATGTGATATGGAGAATTAAAAAGAAGGAAAATCACAAATTATTGAATGAAGATATATGAAGTGCATTTTTAAAAACGTTTCACACAATAATATTGATTAATAAAACAAGTTGTTTTTTAATATTATGTTATAAATGTCATTGCTTTATTTAAAGAGTTGTTGGTAAAGTCATTGGGATTTGTATTCAAATCGTCCAACGAGTCAGTGTTAATCTTATAACTATATATAGTTTTAACCTCATCTCAACATTAATTAAAGTAAGTTAACTCAAGTGGAATTTCTCTCCGATATATAAATTCCAACTTCAACTTTCGTTTTAACTTTTACTTCCTTTCAACAAGTCTAATATTGAACGACGACGGCTTGGCAGTAATGTCCATGACGTCATCAACCTTGACCTCTCGTTGACCAATCGGCGGCAAGATTTTGAACCTCCAGACCAGATTGGTTAGAGAAAGAAAAACTTCCTGGCGGGCTAGAATCTCTCCGAAGCATGATCTTTTTCCTGTTCCGTTGGAGAATTTTTCAAGTGAGCCATAATTTAGACTGGGTGAATTAATTTTAGACAAAATCTTTATTATAAATAATTCAATGATGAAAAAATGTTTGCAGAAGTAATATGACAACAAAAACATAAACTAAACATAAACTGCTATTAAGAAGATTGCTTCAAAAGTGTCTGTATGAGCCTTGCCTACCTAAATGAGACACGCTCATAATGTTAAGCCTTCATATAAAAACTAAGATTTTTTTCTTCTTTCAATTTTATTAAAGAAGAAAAACATATCAAAATTTACTACAAGATACAGGATATTGTTATAAGATTATCAACAACTTATATTTGTTATTTTTTTTGTTAACTACATCTCTGATTAACCTAATGAAAATGGCACCAAATGTTCTTTATTGACGATTGATCCATTATGAAGGAATCTTTCCGGGTGGAATACATCCGGTTTATCCCACACGCGAGGATCGTAATGGGCACCGTGCAAGTTTCCAAACACCTTCAAGCATTTATTTGGAAAGATATTAGTTTTATCAACACAAAAATTTTTATTTAAAATTTTATTTCAATTTAGAAACTAATCAAAGATTTTTACTATTTATATGTTTTGAATTGAAATATTGTTCCGACTAATTGACGCACCGTGGTTCCAGCCGGTATGAAGAAGCCCATTACATGGCTGTCACGCATGCATTGGTGAGGCAGAGTCATGGGACCAACTGATTTGTATCTTGCAAATATTATTTTATTTCAAAATCTAAGATGCCTTGAAGTTTTTTACAAACTATTCATAAAATGAGTATTATACAGAAATTCAAAATATTATACATAAAAAAACATTTTGAAGAAACATATTTGATAATTTCTTTTAAACATATCAGACATTCAACTCTTATCATTAACATTCAATATTTTCACGGTAAAATTAGGATACTACCGTATTATCTCGTTGAACACGGCGTCACAATAGATCAAATTTTTCTTATCCTCCAGAGATGGCAGGATTGATTTATAGTTAACCGAATTTCGACTGGCATGGTGAACAATTTTGTTCACGTGCCGCATCAAGGAATCCATCTCGTCCAGCGATTCAAGTCTCTCTTCGTTATTTTCCCTTTCATCGAGTTTTCCAAACAGTTGGTTGGATTTTTCTAATTCACGGAGTCGATCGGACAGAACCCTTTCAAGCTCCTTGTACATTTTCTCTTGAACATCGGGATGATTAGCTAGCAGCACCATGCACCACTCCACCGTGCTTGCGCTGGTTTCGGTGCCCACGAGAAAGAGTTCGTGCATGAAGTGGATGAATTGGGTTTTGTCGTAGTTCGGGCCTTCGAGTTCTACGTAACTGCGAATGAAACTCGTTGGCGGTTGGCCTTTGGACGTCTCTTGTTCGTGGGACTGGTGATGGTAATATGAGCTTTCATCGTCATTTTCTTCATCTTCGTTTTGAATTTTAGTACGAGCGTTGTCGACGCGTTCACCTCCGAACTCTAAACCAGCAGTGCATTCAATTATTTTTTGCTCCAACATTTTGAAAACTTTGTCCTGAGCGTCAACACAATTTTGTAAGGCACGCTTGTGGAACGGGAAAATTCTGTTTTGGAAAAAATTGAAATATGAACATTTATTTTCCTCATTGTTAAAAACATTTTTTTAAATGCATTTCATTAGAAATATTTTTATCAATCAGTCTGAAGTTAATGTTTTTTTTTAAAAATGACACGTTGTAATATTAAAAATTCACAGGTGTATGACATTTTTTTGGGGGGGAACACTGATCTTATAACTTCGGAGACGGTGTATTAAATGGCAAACTTTAATTTTTTTTTTATTAGTCTTTATTATTGCAGCTCTGACATACGCAGAACCACTTACAATGTTACAGATATATTATGTTATCTATATATCCTTTATTATGTTCTTCTTTTTCTTCATTCATTGATTTGAAGCAGCCATCTTTTGCCACAAAGGCCGTTTATCCTTTTTCACACGACGTACACATGTATTTATGTGCACGCGCAAGCACCGCATCATATACGCTGGTACATGATAGCCATTGAGATAAGATGCAATTAGTTGCTTGAAACAAATAATAAACAGAAGAACCAACTTTAGAAACGGTAAAATGCTGCCTACAACAACCTTCCCAAAGTTATCGAACGTCGTTCTGATGTTGCTGATGATGTCTGCAAGGTCAGGGTCGTCATCGTCGAAACGTTTCCCAAACAGAATTCCACAGAGAATGTTCATGGTGCACTTTGTTGTATCGGGAGTTGGATGAAATTCGCAACCTTATAAAAGATCATAATATTTTTCATGTTTATTTTTTTGCGAGTAATTCTTGAAAATATGTCAAACGTTTGTGTTTTACTGATAAACGAATCAATTAAATAAATTTTGTAGATGAGTTGATTTGAAAAAAACTATTTTTTCACTAGGTGTTTTAATTTTAGCTATTCTCATGAAATCATCTAATTAATTTCAATCCTATATTAAAATTTAAATTGACTGATGACCCTTGTAACTGGCCAAGCTTTCCATAAAGTACTTCATCTCCTCCATGATCCTCTTCTCCATCACTCTGTTGCCAAAACCAAATTGCTTCATGATGCCGAGACTCAGTTTGTGGTACCTTTTGTAAGCTTCGTCGTACTTGTGGAATACTATGCCTTCATTGTCGGAATAATTAAATTTAAATTGGAAAAAAAACATTTGACAAAGTTTCGCATGACATAATTATCTAAAATTTCATAAATGAATATAAACATTTATTAACAACGAGAATAGAATCTGCAACAATCTTAAACAATTTCGATGAAGAGGCCTTACAATGTTACTTTGGTTAACCTTTATTTTGCGGATTTAGCACCTCGTTTATTTTCGCTTTTGGCCTGTCAGCAAAATCAGTTGATCTTTTAACGAAAGCTTCAAAAACTGCTTCCTTGCTGTTCAGGACCACGTGGTACCTTGTAGGGAAAGATGTTGTAATGATGTTGCATATTGAGATGTTGTAATGATTTTGCATATTGAGATGTTGTAATGATGTTGCATATTGAGATGTTGTAATGAAATCAAGCTGACAGACTTACTTGTCCAAAACATAATAGGCCAGGACGTCTCCATACTTGGTCATATTTTTTGTGAAATATTTGTAATGCCACGGAAACGCAGGTAGGAAGGGTAGGGAGCCAAGGAATGGGACTGTGGGAAGACAAGGCGGATGTTTGTACTCTGTATCGTCACCTACTATTATTGGAGGGGGAAGTTTTTTACGTTTGAAGATGAAATAATATGAAAGGGCAAACACGCTCCCTAGCAACAAAACGTTGGTCGTTGAGAATGATGATGATGGTGGTGCGTCTGCTGAAGCCGTCATTATTTCAAAGTTGTCTGTGTTACGTATCTTGATGTTTTCGCGGTACAATAACTTTGCCGATTATTCACCCAACGACTTTGTTTTCAACTTTTTCTATTTATTTTTAATGTAATAAAGTTCGCATTTATTAAATTCAATCAATTTCTAACGCTTTTTTTGAAATTAAAGTTTTAACATTTATATATAATCAGTAATTTCGCACTAAATTGTTAAGTTCTCACAATAAATGAAATGAAAAATATGTAATAAAATTAATTTTTTAACGAATTTCTGATAAATTATTCCAAAATTTCACGAGCATGTCGCTAAATAGTTGAATGCATGTTATGAACGCCAATTGAAAATTTGAATGTGCAGCTAGAACGAGCTGAACAATCGATGAATACAACGGTAATTACTATTACATAACAAATGAGAATCTATGAAAACATGTGTGTTGATATTTATTAAGTAAAAATATCAGTATGTATTTGAAAAGTTTGTTTCTTTCAAAATTATTTTATAATATTATTTGTATTTAAATTAAAAATTAATCTATACTATAACATGTAACACGTAGATAAAGCGTTCAAATGTAAATTTTTATTCGCATAGGAAAAATTTTCTTTCTTTACTCCCTTTCCACGAGTCTAATTTTGAACGATGACGGTTTGGAAGTAACGTCCATGACGTCATCAACCTTGACCTCTTGTTGACCTGATGGGGGTAAAATTTTGAACCTCCAAACCAGGTTGGTTAGGGAGAGGAAAACTTCCTGGCGAGCTAGAATTTCGCCGAAGCATGATCTTTTCCCTGTTTTTAAAAGACAATTTTTGTCAAATTAACCCGATTGATTTGTTTGACGATTACGAAAACAAAAATTTTTCCTAGAAATATTTTGCTTTTAGAAACTTAAAAATTGAAGTGAAAATTTTTGAATTTATTTTGAAAACCATTAAACTTTGTCATACCTTATAATATCATTGTCACCAAATATTGCTAATCATATCGTAAGATTTTGTGTCGTTATTAAGAAAGATAGACACGAGTTACCAAACGAACCTAACGAAAATGGAACGATATGGTCCTTATTAATAATCATCCCAGTGTCGACATCAATGAATCTATCTGGGTTGAAAAGTTCTGGTTCGTGCCATACACGCGTGTCGTTGTGCGATCCGTGTAGATTGCCTATCACCTAGATCATATTACCAAAAAATATTTTCATGTGAAGAAGCAAAAAAATCTTTAAATAAATCAGTATAATATAAGTGAATAAATATTAAAATGATTGATGAAACAAAACAAAACTATATTAGTTGTTGTGTAATAGTTTTAAAAAATCAAACACTCATGTGAAATTCTTTTTCAACGAAAAGGCTGCAAATATCTCAAACAAATCTTTTGATAAAAGTACTTAAATGCCATAACTTAATTCACTATACGGACCGTCGTTCCTTTCGGAACAAAGTACCCCATCACGTGACTGTCCTTCAAGGTCACGTGGGGCAAGGTCATCGGAGTCGCTGGCTTGTACCTTGAATTACAATGGTTAAAATACTTATAATTGTGAAATTTTTTAAATTTTTAAATACTTAAATTTGTATGTAAAAAATTAGTTTAAAGAATTTTTTAAAAATTTTGTATAAAAGTTACCGAAGTATTTCATAAAAAACTGCTTGACAATAAAGCAAATTTGTTTTGTCTTCAAGGGTTGGAAGTATAGTTTTATGATTAACAAGATTGCTGCGTTGGACGGTTTTAGATTCTGGTTTATTTTTATCTGAATTTTCAAGTTTGTCAGAAAGAACTTTTTTCAGTTCTCGGTACATTTTTTCTTGAATTTCCAAATTGTTGGCCAGTAAGACCAAGGTCCACTCCAATGTACTGGCAACAGTTTCAGTCCCCGCAAGGAAAAGTTCGTACATGAAGTAGAGGAGTTGTTCTTTGTCGTAATCAGGGCCTTCAATTTTGACGTAACTGCGAATGAAACTTGAAGGAGGGTGCCTTTTAGAGTTCTCCTGCTCTTCTTGGCTTGGTTCGTGATGGTGATGAGGTATTTTTCTATAATAACTGTCGTCGTACATTCTCTCCGTATCATCATTTTCAGTTTTTGTATTAGCGTCAAAAGTCAGACCATCCGAGCATTCGATTATTTTCTTCTCCAGCATGCTGAAGATGTCGCCTCTGACGTCGAGACTTTTTTGCAGGGCCTTTTTGTAGAAGGAGAAATATCTAGAGACGATATTTTTTAGGAGTATTAAAACATAATTTGATAATTTAAAATTTTATAAAATCTTCCAATAACAAATCACATCTTCAGAATTAGACAAAACATTTTAATTTAAAAAATTTCAGTTAAGACTATTTGACATGAATCTCAAAAATTTTAATAAAATTGAACAAAATGACTCAAACTTGATGAAAGGAAAAACATTAGCTACAAATAATTTTCCAAGATTGTTAAAATTTGTTCTGATGCTGTTGATGACATCAGAAAGTTCAGGGTCATTGTCGGAAAAACGCCTCCCAAAGAGAATTCCACACACAATGTTCATTGAAACTTTCGAAACCACGGGGTTTGGGTTGAACGCCAAACCTTAAGACGTGAATAATATTATTACAAACAACAATAGTTTGATTGTTATCTAATGTACAATACAACACAAATCTATTTCGTATTGACAAGAAAAAATTGTATTTCTGAAGCTGGCCAAACCTTTGAAACTGGCCAAGTTCTCCATAAAGTAGCTCATCTCCTCCATGATCCTCTTCTCCATCACTCTGTTGCCGAAGCCAAATTGCTTCATGATGCCAAGACTCAATTTGTGATACTTTTTGAAGCTTTCATCGTAGTTATGGAACAGTATGCCTTTATATTTTTTTTGAAAAGTTAATGAAATAAATGTTAATAATCTATTTTCAAATTAAATTGGAAAATTTATTTCTATCGGGAATAACCTTTTTGATTTGGATTTAATATGCTGTTCAATTTTGTGGACGGCCTTCCAGCAAAATCTGTTGACTTCTTAACAAATGCGTCGTGTATTGCTTCCTTACTGTTTAAGACTATCTTGTAGCTGGTGTCAAACATAACATATTAAATTTTTTGTTAGAATTTTAACAATCGGTTATACATTTTTAATTTATTTACAAACCTTTTATTTTTAAATAGTTTGCAATCATAAAATTTATGCCTAAATAAAACGATTTTAACTTAAAAATCTATCCAGCCTTTAATTATCGTAAGCAAATCAGTAACGAGTAACTTCAAAATCCAAAACCACCTTCCCATAACATAGAACGCAACCACGTCTCCATACTTATACTTCTCCTTAGTAAAATACTTGTATTGAGTTGGGAACGCTGGTAGGAATGGTACGGATCCAAAGATGGGAACAGTGGGAAGACAGGGCGGATGTTTGTACTTAGTTCCATCTCCTGTTATTACCGGTTCTGGAAGTTTTCTACGTTTGAAGATTAGTAAGTAGGGGATGATAAAAAGTGCTGCCAGGAGGAATAAGTTAGTCGTTGTTAACGATGAAAGCAGTGATAATAACGGTGATGTCATTTTGGTGGGTTTCTGGTTTCCAAACGTTTCAATTGTACCGGCGATATTTATAGTTTATTAGATTTATTTTATTTATTAGTTTGTTAGATTTAAAATTTTTAGGTTTTAATTAGAATAATTGTTAAATTTATAACGCAAAGTTTGAAGCTGTTTATTGTGTGAAAGAAAATATTTGAAGTTGAATCAAAATATTATCAAATAATAATATAGTATTACTATCAGTTGAAATTATTTTGATTATGACACTGTAAATGTATATATGTTTTAAGTGCATCGGTAGCATTCGACTGAACAAGCTTACAAATATTCTGTTAAATATAAAGTAATGTTGTGGATATGATATAACTTGTCGTTATTTGATTGTTACTAAATGTACCTATTATGTCTGCTTGTATTGCTGAATGTAAGTAAGGGTTCTGTTTATTATATAACGAAATGTGCTGGCTGATTTGACAGTAGTTTGAATGTTCATATGAAACATCATACAAGACGATAGAAGTTTATCAACTTTATTTATATTTCTCAGCTATTTATTAGAGGGTATTATAATGTTGAATTTGATGTAAGATCACCATATAAAGATGCAATGTATATATGTTTAGTATGGTTATATATGCTTTATGTATTCTCGTATACGCGATTCATAATGTTTTATATAGACAGCTTATATGCTTTAGATGCTAGTAATATTCTTTATGAAGTTTTATAAATCGTCAGGCAAAGTTGAACTTAAAAATATTACATTCCATTTACACACACCTTCACGTTTAATTAATGTTACCTCAGACTATAAACAACACACAAATTATAATTAGCAACCTATTAAACGGAAATTTTTTAATTTAAATACCAAATTCTCAAAGATTTTAAAAAAACTCTCCGTGTTAATAAGATGAAAAAAATTCAAAAATATAACTGCAGCACAAGTGGAATTCCGTTTCTTTTTTTAATTATAATAATAAAAAAATTAATATTAATAATAATGATAAAAAAAGTTAATGTAATTAATTAATTAACTATTTATCCCTGTTATGAGAATTATCTGTAGTGAAAGAGATTAAGCAATTTACAAAGGTGAGAAATGCAATTGTTCGTATTCATTCTCCACCGGCTTTGTCATCTGCATCAATTGTTTTCTGTGCTGTCTGTTTTTTAATAAAATTACTGAGTGTATTTAATAGTATTTAAAAACAACCTTTTTATAATTTTGTGTTTTATGTCAAACTGTCTAAATTGTTATATTAAAACACGTTAATATATAAAGAATATATAAGCAGAGATGTTTTTTGTACATCAGTTTAAAACGTTCTTAATAAAAAGTTGCCTTTTTCACGTTTATCAATTGAATTGATTTATTGCAAGTTCAAAAAAAATTATTCATATTATTCATTATTCATATGATCGTGTCAAAAATAGAAACAGCTTTTTGTAAACATCTAATTATCTTCTATTTAGTTAATGGTTAAGAAGTTTCAGACAACACGCAGGCAGGCATGCCAGTGCCAGCCACCAGCTACGCTACTACTGCGTGGCTACGAGATGCACACGCTAAGCAGCCAGCCTAGCTGTGCTGCCTAAGCAGCCAGCCTAGCTGTGCTGCCTAAGCAGCCAGCCTAGCTGTGCTGCTTAGTATAGCAGGAAGATGCTTAAGTTCCGTTTATAATTCATTTGTCGACATCTTCTGCAGAAGATTGGAGGTCTTCGAGAAAATAAGAAGCGAGGAAATTTTAATGGGTTCGATTTTTTTAATGTTCAATTTCAATTTTTAATAAATGGGAAAGCTCATATTAATGTTTTTCAAATTGTTTGATAAGTAAGGTACGTATTTCTTGCTACAAATTAATTTTATTCTATATACTTTTAACGTTTCAGCTTTTCAAAACTTCCATGACCATCATTTTGGTTTTGAGAAAATGAAAATGATAATACAGTATCATACAATGTCTAACTCCTCATTTAATCAAACGTTTTTGTTGGAAGGTCATAGAGTTTTAGGCGTGAATATTTTCAATGTCAATGTTTGAAACGAAAACAGCTTTCGTTTGCAAAATTAATCCAAACTAACTTTAAAAAAAAAACAAAAAAACAGATAATATTGACATTTAAACAAGTAAACATTAAAAAATAAAAATGTACCTATTTGTATGTATAGTAAACAAAATCATTGTATTCTATTACATTTACATTCAAATGGTAAGATTGTATAAGTCACAAATAACTATATAACTTCTTAAAAACTTCTTAAAAATTATCACATGACAAAAAATTTATCACCTAGCATGTAAGAAATTATATTTTTTAGCTATCCTATACTGTTAATAAATATCTTATAATGAGGTTTGATAATTATAGGTTTCAACTGAAACATAAGATGCTGAGTTTATTTATATCTGGTAATACTAATAACTTTCATAAACATATGCTTGAACGTACAAATGCAATATACAAATTATATATTTTTACTGTTATAAAACTTACTAATAAAATTTTATAAATATTTTAAAATTTTTATTCGTAACGACATTATTAACTTATAATGCTTGAATTAACAACTAACATTAAATTTTTTTAAATATCAAAAATCTATAATTAAAACGTTTGGCAAAAAGTTATTTTACTTTCTTGAGAGTACGTACACAGTACAGTGCACATTTCAATTTTTAGCAATCAATGTTTCACATTTCTTCTCTCATTGAACACCTTGTATTCCAATAAGTTCATTTTTTGCAATTGGGATACGCGTGCATTTTTGTGTCATGCCATCTTCACCGGTTTCTTGTCATTTCATTTTGCCAATTAGGAAATTTTTGGCAACTATCTAACCCAAATAGAGAAGTGAGATAAGTCATTTTTATTGCACCGTCTGCAAACAATGCAAACAATTTCTTCAAGGACGATAGATGTGGTGGGGAGTTCTAATACCAAACTCCAAATTGGTACGTAAACTCTCCGGAGAATGGAGGTTGCAGACGTTAACTCAGCGGGTGCGAGCGATTGCGGTTTCAAAAAATCTTCTCTGCTTGGGGCTCTACTTGCTATGTAAGAATAAACCTAGCATTTTAGCATGAATCCGTTTCCAGATTTCGTTCGTAGCAAATTTGGAAACTGCGATTTTCCAAACTGGCACCCACTATTATTTATTTGTTTTAACAGTCTCATCATCCTGTATAGTTTTTTGAATAAAAATTCTACCATTGGAATCAATTATGGTATAATTTATTATGAGGGCTTTGGGTCTAATCATTCAATTTAGTCCTCATTGTTTCCTGCAGACTGTAGCTATATTGTTTTTAACAAATTCTGGCCAGTGAGTAGTTGGAAGGATTTCCGATTAAGGTTTTTGTAATCAAAATTCAGTTTACCATATAAAAATCAAGTAATCCAACTACTAAACTCAATTGTAACAAATATCACAAAGCTTGTTTTGTATGCTTCGTTATAAATTCGACAGCTCACCCTGGTTTCCAGCATACAAAGGAGTATGATAATTCGTCTCCAGGAAATGGCCAGCCCCATTTTTTATTTCAACACAGTTGGTTCAGCCACTGAAGTTTTTTTATGAAATGTTTCGTGAAGATTCAATTGAAATTGAAATCTTAATGCTCGTACAGAGTGCAAAAACATATACAAAAATCAAATTTATTCAACTTTTTCTGAGCGTAAAGTCATAATCATCATAGACTTTTGTTTTCTCAAACGATTGAGCGAACTATTCTTTCACGTATGGTATGGTATGATATGTCTCATAAAATCATCGTCTTTTATTAAACTTGTTAAAACTTTGGTTTTCTACCTTTTCGTCTATCGTCTGATGACAATATAACCCTACCATGTTTTTGGCATTTTTTTGTTTTTGATTCAAACTGCATTTGCATGTGACTGGCTTTTCGCTACTGTGAAAAGTTATTTTACTGTAACCGTTCATCTTCACAAAAGTGCAATAGGTTGCCATAATGACGATCATGATATTTTCAATAACCATGACCACTACATTTTAGTAACTATCATATATTAAACATAGTAATAGCAAATCAATTACAAAAAACTGTTTAAAATTTTAACAAATTTGATTTATTTTATTAAGTAAGACTAAATAAGTTATAGCAAAGTTATAGATGGGCCATCCTTAACTAACTTTAACTTAAATAACTATAAGGCATATAGTCACAAAAATTATGATGTGTCTTTTCATACCAACATAATCTCATTTAACACGCACACACACACACACACACACACACACACACACACACACACACACACGTATACACACACAGACATTTATATTTGACAATCAAATAATTAAAATTTTAAACTCTCCAAACTTACTAGTGTTATTACGTTTAAAAATTTAAACAGCTCAGCATGTGTTGGTTTTTTTAGCGTTTTTTGCAGTGTACATTTCTTACATCAACGTCCCCATTCTATGGTTTCCTCTTACTGATTGTTTCCTCTTAACACAATTAGTAATTAGGATGTAATATAGTGTAATCAGCGTATGTTTTTAGATTGTGTACTGTACATCGTGAGATATAATTTTCACATAGATGCATTATCGCTTATCGTTATGTGATCATTTATTTGCATAGGATATTTTGGTAAAATGATAATTATATCATTCACATGCATTTAAAGATGTTGCTATTACTAACGATACGATGATACTTCTTCTAATAGAAATATTTTTAGCTTCAGCACATTTCTGACATCATCTGCTAACTTGTTGCTTATATTTAAGTTTTTAATAATACTTTACTGAATAATAGCTTATTTATTTTGAGTAAAGATAACAAAATTGTTGTCGACATGTTTGATATTGTCACCTTGGAGTATTTTTTTCAATTCAAACAAGTAAAAGTTTTTAGCATTAAATTTTCCACTAAAAGTCATTATTCTAAAAGAATATGATCAAACATTGTTAGTTGGTTTTGTAATTTAAATTAACATTTCAACATTTAAAAATTAGATGTGTTATGTGTTGTATTTGTTGATATCAGTAACGTTCGTTATTGTATAAATTTGCTCCTTGTCTCTGTGCCATTCCGCCTTTTTCTCAGGTGGATATGCCAGCAAAAATAATTTGTGTCCAAGACAATTTGGTATATGTTTGGCGCACTGAGTCGTCACGTGCATCCTTGCATCGACTGCAACCTATATTTTTATGTTGATGTCAATACTCTTCGAGTCTCTTTTATTAACATTTCTGCGTCTAATGTTGTTTTTACGACCGATTTTTAAGTAGATGAATGTGCCAGCCGTTAAATTTGGGACATTTTTTTAGAACATTTCAAACAAATGTTTTGTAAACCTATTTTTTCAGATTTTAACACTCACATGTTAAAACCTTGAGCAAATCTTAAATAGTTAAGTATTTCGAATAATACTGATGTTACTCAGTCTTGAAAACATTTTTAGAGACCACGCGCTTGAAAATCCTTCTACCATTGTTGTTCGCATCTCATCGCATCTCTGCTCTGTCATGCCGATTTTTGGATAATTTTTGTCTGAATGTGTAGAGGAATGTTATATTCATTTTATAGCATAAAATTTGAACGATATTTTATATGAGAGGACTTTTTTCAAACCTCTTGTTGTAAGGTCTCCGTCTATTGTACTTGCACCAACACTTTATTTTGTTTGAATTTATTGGAGAAAAACTCAAATTACTATAGAGCAGCTTACTAGCTTCTGTAGTTTGTTGCTAAAAGGACATGAATAATTCAACTAAACCCTAATTACCTAAAAAATTTTCGTTACTATGATTTTATATAACAACGCTAAGCTGTCGTATATTGGAATATATTGCCCAAACTGTTTCAATGTAACTGAGAAATGAGTTAACTTTCTATGCGGTATCATTTGATATGTTATCAAATCGTTCAACATTGCTTGACTAAACCAAGTTCTACTTTTTTTACATAAATCCTTCACCATTCGTGAGAAAATAAGTGGAGAGTTTATAACTTACAAAACATTTGTATGAAACATTTATTCAATTGATCTGAAATAATAAATATTGAACATAATGTGATGTTCACATCAATTCAAAACACACCAGGAAGGAGAACCAATGGATGGCTGCCCTCGTGATGCAAGGTTGATGCGAGCGAAATAGTGAAGTAACGAAAGAAGGTTTTCTGCTTTGAAACGATTGACATCATCAGCCAAGCGTCTCAAAATATTTTGCCTCATTGATTGACATTTAGCCTCATATTTTAGTTTTCACCTGTATTTTATAATTTTTTTATACTCTTACGCTTTAATATATTTGTAAGCATAATTGCATTTGATCCTAGCTAGGTTATAATATTTCCCATTTGTTATTTTATAACAATTCGAATTGTTAAAAATTTTTGAGTCTTCTATAGAAAATAATAAATACGTCGTTTCCTACTTCATGTCTCGAACGTTTGCTCAATAAGAGCGTAGTGGAACATAATATTCGTTGAAAGATAAATTTTCTAATCACGAAACTTCATTCTTGATCTTGCTAATCTTAAACAGTGTTAATCATCTGAAAGTTTATAAAGTGAAAACATAGAAAATAAATATCTAAAAAAAACTAACTAGAAGAAATTTCTTTCACTTGCAAAACACATATTCAAACAGATTAGCAAATCACTGAAACTCGAAATTCAGATAAAAAAAAAATGATGATATAAACATTGGCGAAATATGAAGTGCCACAAAAGCTACATTAAATATGCCTGACTAAGCAACTATGTATGGTAAGTGATCAAATTTTAAAACTTTTGTGAATGAAGCTCATATCAGAGCGAAAAGTTCTAACAGAATTTTCTTAAGCTTCAGACATTTTAACAGTTATAATTACACATTTATTTTACTCAGTTAATAAGTTAGCCACAATTTTTCCCCCAACTAATTTCTTTCCAAAAGCCTAATTTTAAATGGCGAAGGTTTGGCAGTTACGTCCATGACGTCATCGACCTTGACCTCTTGTTGATCACGCGGTGGTAAAATTTTGAACCTCCAAACCAGGTTCGTTAAGGAAAGAAAGAACTCCTGGCGGGCCAAAATTTCTCCGAAGCACGATCTCTTGCCTGGTTTGGAACAGATTTAGATTGGTTACAAAGTTTTGAAAATATGAAAAAAGAATTAATAAACTTTTTTAATTTATTGACAAAAAGTTATTCCATATGAATAAAAACTACAAACAAGAAGATCAAAGCCATAAGAAACCCTTAAAAATTTAAGCAAACAACCAACAAACCGAGAGAAAATGCCACGATATGTTCTTTATTTTTAATTGTCTCATCACTTCGGTCGATGAACCTTTCAGGATCAAAAATGTCTGGTTCCTCCCAGATACGACGATCAAAGTGGGCTCCGTGTAGATTGCCAATCACCTTCAGTCGTTAATCAATTGCATTTGTTATTTGCGAAATATTATCAACAGTTTGGGTTTATTTACTTTTCAAATTTCATGTCGTTGCTTTTTATGAAAATAATTTATTCAACATTATTATGTGTTGTTGTCGTTGTTATTATTATTAATCCGTTCACTGATTGCAATGTATAAATACTTTACAAAAACTATAAAAAAATCTTTGATGAAACACGAACCGTAGTGTTTTGAGGAATGAAATAGCCCATGACGTGAGTGTCCTTCATCGTCTGGTGGGGCAAGGTCATCGGAGCCACGGGCTTGTACCTTCATTCAAATATTCCCATGCAACTATTTTTCAGAACTAGAATTTAGAATTTTTTAATATAATATTGGTCCAGAGTTAGGCAACTTAAATTTATATGGATGTAAATGGCTGTGCATGTATTTGTTGTATAAAAAAAAATTAAAACTCTTTTGCTTGTATTAAATACATTTGTGAAATTGAAATAAATTCTTATATTTTTAACTTAAAATTATAATGTTTAACAGATTTCAAAACTAACTACTGACAAACCTTAATATTTCGTGGAAAACCGCATCGCAATACAGTAAATGTTTTTTGTCTTCCAAAGACGGCAGTATAGATTTATAATTGACAAGAGTTGAACGGCGAACAATTTTATTCATATGTTGTTTTAAATATTCCATTTCGTCAGAGCTCTTGCTATCGCTATTCAACTCTTTCTTTGGCTGGTCATCTGTTCCAGCTCTTGGACTCTCTGCCTCTTGAAACCTGCTAGCGAGTACGCTTTCTAGCTCTCTGTACATTTTTTCTTGGATATCTTGATGGTTGGCCAGCAATACCAAGGTCCACTCAATAGTACTCGCAGTAGTTTCAGTACCTCCAAGAAAGAGCTCGTGCATGAAGTGGAGAAGTTGTTCTCTGTCGTAGTTGACACCTTCCAGCTCTATGTAGCTTCGGATGAAACTGGATAAATGCTTTTCGTCTCTCTCATCGTCATTTTCAATTTTGTCGGCGACATCAGGGCTTTCGACGTTGCCTTCGCTGTCATATTTCAATCCTGCAGAACATTCAACTATTTTCTCTTCCAACATTTTGAAAATCTTTTTCTGAGCGTCCACTGTATTTTGAAGAGCACGTTTGTGGAATGAGAAATATCTGTTGAAAACATATTTTTTAGAAAAATCAAATTCTGATAAATTCAGATTAGGTTGGCATGTAGAAATAAATTTAAACATTTACAAATAATCTTCATCTCATTTAGTTTTGAAAAGAATTACAAAAGAAAATATTTTAATAAACGTAATCTCACAAGTTTAAAGTTGAATAATAACCTCAGAAATGGAAAAACATTAACGATAAATATTTTCCCTAAATTGTTAAAACTGGTTCTGATGTTGCTGATGGTGTCAGAAAGATCAGGGTCGTCATCTCTAAAGCGTTTCCCAAACAGAATTCCACAGATGATGTTCATTGTACAGTTGGCAACTACGGGAGTAGGGTTAAATTCGCAACCTTGGAGTTGAAAATGAAACTTGTTTCATGTTTTTCTTACAAATATCAAATATTGGTTTTAGTTTTATCAAATTTTCAGCAGGAAATTATTTAAAAATTTACCATTGAAACTGGCCAAGTGATCCATAAAATACTTCATCTCCTCCATGATCCTCTTCTCCATCACTCTGTTGCCGAAACCAAATTGCTTCATGATGCCGAGACTCAGTTTGTGGTACTTTTTGAAGTTGTTGTCGTAACCGTGAAACAAAATTCCTGCAAAATTGCAATATTTCTAATTCAATTTTTCAAGTTTTGTGAGGAAAACTTGAATATTTTTATCATTCAAAAAAGTAAATGCGGCTTATTCAAAAATTTGTTGTGTGAAGGGCTTAATGCTGATACAAAAAAGTTGGCAACCATTTAATTTGGCCTCAACATTGGCAATATTTTTCATTTCAAATCCAACAACCTCAAAACTTTCCCCCTTCCATTGGCTACTACCTCCTCTATAACGTTTAGAAAGTGGTTGATTGAATATCACAAAACGGAATTCGCTTTAGAAACGGTGATATAAATAATAATCGTTGAAATGTTGAATTACGGTCATCAGCTATACATAATTTTATTAGAATCATTCAAGCCACTGGGCTATTAAAATTTGCTCAAAAATTTTTGAAAATTTAATAATCAAAAAGATTGATATTTATATACACATATCAGAAAGATGTTACATAATGCAGTTCATTTTTTACATACTTCGTCTTTATAACGAAACGATACGATACTACGTATTCCATATATTGACATATTGACTTGAATATAACCATAATCACTATTGCAAAAAATCTTTAGCAACAATAAAAAATATAATAGTAATTAAGGGTGAATTATTTTACTAGCTATGTATGTAAGTTTAATTGCTAGTAAGAATCCGTTTACCGTTTGTTGAATCTCGAATGATTAATTAATTCCGAGATGTTAACGTCCTATGTAAAGTTATCTACTATGCAATCAAGCACTTTTTTTACCTATGCTAGGCATATTTTATTTCCACTCAGGTAATTATAACGATTATGTAAATTGTATGATGTATTTTCTTTCCGACGTGTAATAAAAGTTGTAGTCCTTTAATAATATGAATAAAACTGAATAAATATTGACGAAACCCTTGAAAACAAGTGAAAATTAGAATAGTATTTTACTAACATACACGATTAAACATAACTCGTAACTATATCTAATAACTCAATTTACATAGACCATCTAAATGCCAATTCTAAACCATGGAATGGACATATATAATATATATTATTTAATATTTTATTTTATATATATCCATGCTCTAAGCTCGGCTGATAATGTGAATCAAAAACCTTTCTGGTTAGGGTTAAGAACGTTGTTGACCCTGGCTCTGGGACGATCGGCAAAATCAGTTGACCTTTTGACGAAGGCTTCGTGTACCGCCTCTCTGCTATTCAGAATTATCTTGTACCTGATGTGACAGTACGCAGTTTAATATTGTTTTATATGTAAAATGATGTGAATTGATGAAATATTAAATTGTTTTTAGGTATCTTACAAAAGACATAGGTAAGGTATAGAAGGTATAGAAAGTGATAAGGTATAGAAAGATGATGCAACAATAATAGCTAACAATGTGCTCCAATTTAAGATACGTATCCGGTAATTATTTCAAAAGTTACTTCAATTTAATTACAAACGGCAAACAAAACTTGCTTACTGGCCCATCATGTAGTAGGCCACTACATCTCCATACTTCTGCATATTTTTTGTGAAAAACTTGTACTGCAATGGAAATGCGGGTAGGAATGGTAGGGAGCCGAAGATGGGAACAGTGGGAAGACAGGGAGGATGTCTGTATGTTGTTTCATCTCCTGCTATAATCGGTGCTGGGAGTTTTCGGCGTTTGAGGATGAGTATGTAGGAAATTCCGAATATGGTTGTGACTAGTAGGATGGTGGTTGTTGCTGAGGAAGTTAAGGGCAGTGATGCGAATATTGATGATGGTGAAGATGTGATCAAACTCATCATTATCTTTTTATTTTGTCAGTTTGCTAGTTTTAATTAAAATCATTTGGCTAGTTAGAGGAATGTAGCTAGTTCTTTTTGTTGTTGGATGTTTTTAACTAGTTGTTCAACTTGTTGAGATATATGTAAATATATATGTATATATAAAATTTTTCTTTCTTAATCTAGTTTTGTGACTTTTGTCATATAACAAATACTCAGTAAGAACACTTAGAGTTCCGCTTATTCCATCAAAGATCTTTTAAAACAATGCAAACAATTTCAAATACGAATAATTAAAAACTCACATTCAACTGTTAATGTAACAAAACACAATGAACGCACAAAACATCAACCACATATCATCACTTAACGTTTAAAACCAGCAGACCAAACACAACAAACAAACCAAACAAACACACAACATCATAGCGCGCATCTTATATATGCATTATATATTAAAATACATAATGCATTTACTAGGCTTACTATCATTATATATTACAACAAGAATACATATATATATGCATATTATATATACATATATGTATTTATATATATGAACATAAAAATATATATGTGATATATACACTAAATCAAAATAATTTTATACACGTATGTCATATGAAAATAACTCATCAGGCAATCAAAATAACGAGAGAATGTATGGGTGGATAGATGCCATACACACGCCATATATACATTATATGGATATACAACATAATTAAAGTTTGTAATATTTATATGCTATTAATCAGTGTTGGATGATTTTTTTATTCTTAACAATTACTCTTTTTTTAACATTTGCAAAAGCATGTTGTTGTTGACGTGTTGTCAAGGTAAAGTGTTGTTATTGTTGATGTTACGTTATTGTCATATTGTTGCTATTGTTGTTGTTATCAGTATTGTTGTTATGAACGATTTGAGATATTGATTTTTTGTGAAGGAGACGTTCCGTGTGTTTTTATATATGTACGCATACACACATGTATAAGCTCATAATCCAATTAAATAATTGGGCTTTTGTTAGTTTTTGAGATGACACTGATTAATAGCATATAGATATTACAAACTTGTAATTATATTCAAAAATCTTTGCTTAACAATTCTATATATTTCTCCAATAGTTAATCTGTTAATAATTGTATAAACCTACTAGATTATGTTGGCTGGGCGGGAGCACACACTCACACACACACACACACTTCTAGTACTAAGTAGAAGTGTAATCAATGACTCACACAACTCATGAATTACATTTGCATACGATCAAACACACCTATGTGTAACTTTTTTTCGTGTTAGTTCAAATGTTGTGCAGTGCGTATAAACGAAGAGAAGTTTACAAGCCAAGGCATTCGTCATATAGTCAGGTTATCATACTTTCCAGATTGCTGACAAGTTAAACAAAAATAACACTCAATAAATCATTGTGAATAATAATAAACTTAGTAATAAACTGTTGGGTTATTGTAGTAGTGAAATAATTTCCAAGTGCAAGCGTGGCAATGAGCCAGCCATTCTTCAACTGTCACTTAAGCTCAGGATTTGAATATTAATAATATTCAATGAATATCATTAATGTTACAGTGTTTCTTCTCTGATTTTGTAATTTTGTTTCTGTTCTTCGTACACTCAACACACCATGGCATTGCGGTTATAATTAGAGCTTGTACATTTGTTTCAAGCTAAACGTAGTTAAATGCATTTTGTATTTGAGATATTTTGAATTTAATTTAAAAACTAACAAACCGACTTAAGAGAAGTTTTAAAATTTAAGTCTGCAATACTGGCAATTTTTTATGTCAATCAGTCTTCATTTTAATTGACAAATGACAGACATGATCGCAGATACATGGCACATGCACAGAGCCCAAAGTATAGCGTAATTAGCATTATTTAACAATATTAAATAGAATTTCTCTTGAAATGTTATCAAATTTTTTAACAATACAACCATAAAAATTTTCAATGTTAATAACATTTAAGCAGTACACTTTCCGATATTTTTTAAAAGTTGCTTTTTACAAATTCTGTTCTTTTAATTAAAAATATCAAACGAAAAACAAAACGAAGCGTTATTTTAAATAACATATCAAAAAGTTTTTAAAAAATTTTATAGTAAATAGAGATAACAGTGGTGTGTACAAATGTACATTCACTAATATAATCCAATTAGGATTAAATGAGCCTTGTTAACATGATGATGCTCCATCAAAATCTCTCAATGAGTCTAATTTTAAACGACGACGGTTTGACGGTAACGTCCATGACGTCATCAACATTGACCTTTTCTTGACCTTCAGGTGGAAAGATTTTAAACCTCCAAACTAGGTTGGTAAGGGAAAGAAAAAATTCTTGGCGGGCTAAAATTTCTCCGAAGCACGAACGTTTTCCTAGAGAAATGTTGAATAGTGACATACCTCCATAATGATGAATGATAAGTTTTTCAAATATAAAGAAAGAATATTTGGTAAAATGTGGAAATTATTTGTAATGAGCTGACCCAATGAAAAAGAGACGATATGTTCTTTGTTGACGATCATCTCATTGTTTTCGTTCAAGAACCGCTCCGGATTGAATTTTTCAGGATCCCGCCAGACACGAGGATCATGATGGGCTCCGTGCAAGTTTCCAAACACCTTCCAGATATTCCCGTACAAAATATTTATGAACAACAAATTTATAAAAATTGGAAACAGAATTTCACCGATTCAGTTAACAAATTTTTAAAATTATTAATTATAAACTTAATGTAAAAATTGAAATATAATAAATTAGCCGACTGTGCATCCTTTCGGGACGAAGAAGCCCATCACGTGGCTGTCCTTCATGGTGACGTGGGGCAAGGTCATCGGTGCCACGGGCTTGTATCTTCATTCATGTGTTTGGGGATATTTACGGCGTTAAACATATTGCCACGTGCATTTACTTTTATTTATAATCACACTTTTGCTCTTTCGTAATTTTTTCGAAGATCTAGAACACATTTCTGCGAAAGAACTAACTTGAAGCAATGCAATAAAGATTTATAAAACAATTTTTGAATTCCGCGTGTGTCGAACAATGGATATTTTATCAAAAACTTGTTGGCAAATTAGCCAAAAAACACAAAATAGCTATTACGTACCTTAATATTTCGTTGAAAACCGCATCACAATAAGGCAGACATTTTTTATCCTCCAAAAATGGTAGATAGGATTTGTAGTTGACAACTTTCTCATTCGACTGATGCAAGCTTTCATTCGTGTTTAGTTTTGAACAGTTTAATTTAGAGTCAGAAGCAAGTTTGCTGACGTCATTGATTATTTGGCCACTGTTCTCATCAGATTTCTGAGTCGAGAATTCTTTTTGATGCTGTTCTTCTATAAGAACTCTCTCAAGTTCTTTAAACATTTTCTCCTGAACATCCGGATGATTGGCCAGCAGCACAAGAGTCCATTCCAAGGTGCTGGCTGTCGTTTCAGTGCCTGCGAGAAAAAGTTCGCGCATGAAATGCAGAAGTTGTTCCTTGTCATAATTTGGACCTTCGAGTTCGATGTAGCTTCGAATGAAACTGGATGTGGGTTGATCTCCCTGGTCATCTTTCGGTTGGAGTTGGTGGTGGTTGTAGTAGGTGCTTTCTATCTTGATGTCGTAATTATTTTCATCGGCCTGTTGCTCTGAAGTGGTGGATTCCTTATGGATATGTTCTTCAGCAAACTCCAATCCAACTGTACACTCGACTATTTTTTGTTCCAACATTTTGAATATTTTGTTCTGTGCGTCGACACAACTTTGTAGAGCTTTTTTGTGGAAAGAAAAGTGTCTGAAATATTGAAACGCATTTAAAATTATTTACTTTTTTAGATATTTTTGATATTTTTAATTAATACTTAATGAATTCATTAAGTCAAACAATTTCAAAATGAACCTCAAAAACGGGAAGGCATTGACCATGAAAATTTTTCCAATGTTATTGAAACTGGTTCTTATGTTTGCAATGATATCGGAAAGGTCTGGATCGTCATCATTGAATCGTTTCCCAAAAAGAATTCCGCAGACGATATTCATGGAACACTTTGTAACAACGGGAGTCGGATTGAACTCGCAACCTTCCGATGAATGTTGAAATTGAAAACGATAGCTATAAAAACTAACAACAAAATGTCAGATGTATTAAGCAGATTAACTTTCCATTTTATTTTGAGATCACTAACTTGTTTGTATAACTCAATAGTTCAATTCATACAGTAAAATTAAAAAAAAAATCCAATTTAAAATTGATAAAACTGTTATTGTCTTTTACTACTCTTAGTAATCTTAACCCACAGCACAGGTGCTAGGTGGGAACCTTACAGGTATCAAACCTAGTCACTGCAACACCAACTTCAGTTGCTATAAATTATTACACTTCTTGCTTCCATAACAGAGCAACAACATCATATTAGTATATTTCAAATATTGCAAAGTTGTCATATTTTTAACATTCGACCAAAACCTTCAAAACTGGCCAGGTTCTCCATAAAGTACTTCATCTCTTCCATGATCCTCGTCTCCATCACTCTGTTGCCGAAACCAAATTGCTTCATGATGCCGAGACTCAGTTTGTGGTACTTTTTGAAGTTGTCGTCGTAGTTGCGAAACAAGATGCCTTCGACGCGGTTGTGGTTATTTTCAATATCAACATGTATACAGGAATGTTTAAATTTTTTATGCATATTCTCATTGTTTTAATGGATTTTTATCGAATGTGTTGATACATTTGTATAACATTTAAAAATAAAATTCAGACCGACTTTATGCTGCCTACATATAAAACAAATAATTTAGACAAAAAATAAGCTTATCGTTAAAAACAAGAAGAAGAATTTCGAGAATGATAAAAATGTTAATAATTTTGATGAATCATTTATTAACTAATGTTTAATTTTCATAAAACTATGATGTACGCATCTGTACAGCTTTTGCACATGTTAGCGAGAATATCATTAGTTATTGTTAAGAAACATTGAACTCATTCTGTCAAGTATCATCTCTACCTGTTTTATTTTCAAGACAAACTTCTTGAATTTTAAACTCTTGTTTAAAGTTTTAAAGTTAACAAATCTAGAATTTTGAACTTTCACTAAATGAATTTCTGTTTGCGATAGTAGATTATTGTTTCACAACAAACTGAACCATTTAAACATCAACACTTATTTTATTGAATTTTGTATAAGTTAAAATGGCAACCAGTACCCTGGCATGGCAACTAAAAATTGATTGAAACATACTTGTTGCTTAATCACCAATTAACAATTCATTTCAGACGCAAATCTCTCTTCTGATTATATCCATGACTTTTTGGGTCGTCTTCAGAGCATGAAAAACGTGAAATAATTACAAAAAATAATTAAAAAAGCATATAAAAATTCAAACATAAAAGTACATTTGGAAATCATTCAAACCTTTATGTCTTGGATTAAGGACGTTGGTGACGCCTGCTCTGGGCCTGTCGGCAAAGTCTGTGGACCTCTTTACGAAGGCTTCGTGTATGGCCTCCTTACTGTTTAAGATCACCTGGTATCTGAGCAGTGCAACAAAAAGTCATGTGTTGAAGGTATTAAAAATAATTTATTTATTAACTAATGTTATGTCATCTTTTCTTTAAGCAATAATTAAATCTAGACTGTACCTGAAGTCTATCTCTGTCAAGAACACAAATTTCAAAGTGAGTAAAGTAAGTGTTTGTATGTAAAACAGACCAAATTCAAAATCAAAAAAGGTGCCATGACGCAACTCTGTACAACGAATGCCGTAAGTTTTACGTAAGAAATAAATGAAATCAGACAAAAATATCCCTGATCAAAACAGTTTCATTTACAAAAATAATTTTAAACTAGAGCAACAAAATGAAGAGCAAGCAATCGTATAAAATTAAATTACTTTCCCATCATGTAATAAGCAAAGACATCGCCGTACTGCTCTCTCATCTTAGTGAAGTACTTGTACTGAGTTGGAAAGGCGGGCATGAAAGGCATGGATCCAAATATGGGAACAGTGGGAAGACAGGGCGGATGTCTGTACGTCGTTCCATCTCCCGCTATGATCGGTGCTGGAAGTTTTCGGCGTTTGGAGAGTAGGAAGTATGAAAGTGCAAAGGTCACGGTCAGTAGGATGAAGGATGGGGTTGTTGTGGAGGATAAAAGTGATGATAGTGAGGGGGTTGCTAATGAAAATGTCATCGTGTTTTTGGCTCAGTAAATTAAAGTTCGTTTGTATCTTATTTTACTCTTTGCTACCATGCGAATTTTGTTATTTTAGTTTTTTAAGAGTATATTTGATAAATTTTCAAAGTAATCCATGAAAAAGTTTTAGAAAAAAATTGTTGCAACACGAAACTACAACGTTAATTATCAATATCAGGTAAATATTTTAATAGTTGATACAAACAAACCCTGAATATAATAGCGTTCAATCATGTTTATTGCAAACAACTCTATCCCAACCAAGCACTATATATAAAACTAGTGCACGGACATTGTACCCGCATATAGTTTATACAAGTTTAAATATGTGCTTGTGTTGAGTATAGAGACAGTATCTACAGTTAATACAAGCTACATGTCATTTGCTTTACATACTTTTCGATGATTTAATTTTAAATATTATCTTATTACCTGGAAAAGAGATAAAATAATGAGTTGTGTATAGGAGTGATGATTAAACATGAAAAAATCATTTAGTCACGGTTGAACTATTTTTTAGGATCTGGAATGAACGAGAAGGTGAAATTTAATTTTAATGCGTTCGCGTCTAAACTATTTGTGTTTTCAGTTGAGACAAACTCAAAATATCAACTTATTGGTACAATCTTCCAATTAGTTTAACACAAATAACGCTTGTTTATTCACTTTAAGCAACTTCAAACAAAATAAAAATTATAATGTTAACTTTTTATTTCTTATTAAATAATAGGAATAAGATTTCAAAATGTCGAGAGTTACTTTGAATCTAATAGAAAAACATCTGTACGTCTTAGTTTGGCTTTGTTTCTTATAAACGATCAGATAAATTTTTCAACTTCAAGACCTTTCCACTAGCCTAATTTTAAACGACGACGGTTTAACGGTAACGTCCATGGCGTCATCAACATTGACCTTTTCTTGACCTTCAGGTGGAAAGATTTTAAACCTCCACACCAGGTTGGTTAGGGAGAGAAAAAATTCTTGACGGGCTAAAATTTCTCCGAAGCAAGATCTTTTTCCTGGAGGAATTTTAATTGTTGGAATTTATTTTTAAAATTTGTTTTGTAGTGTTTTAATATACTGGTTTATAATTTTAGAAGTGAAAAATTTGACAAGATAATCAGCCATTAATTTATTAATTCTCAAAGATTTGTTCTTCAAATTTTTATTGCTAAAGATCTTTCAAATTGAAATCCCATTTTAGTAACCAATAGATCATTTTTGAATTTATAAGTTAACACCAACATATATTAGCCTACCGTTAAACTAACTAACCCAACGAAAAAGGCACAATGTGCTCCTTGTTAACAATCATTTCATCGTTTTCCTTAAAGAATCTCTCCGGATTAAAAATATCCGGACACTCCCAAACACGAGGATCACGATGGGCTGCGTGCACGTTCCCAATTACCTTCAATTTATACATTATTACATTATATTGTAAATTTTTAGAACGCCTCTACTGAGCTATCTCCAGTGGCGCCAGCCTTTAAGCATCAGTCTTTTTAATCAAAAATGTTTCAAAAATTATTAATCAGTAACTCTAATTTATATAACGTCGAGTCTACCGTTTCATAAAGTTTTTTAATTGTCAAGAACTAAAATTGCATATTTTAACTTATGAACACGCAGAGAAAAGCATCAGACACTTAGGTTATGTATGTATGACCTAGATATCAAGTGCGGATCTCTTTGCGTTCGAACACGATCTCTGCAACACAAGACTGAGTGTTTTACCATTAAGTTTTAACATTAATTTAGTTGTGAAAAATTAAAAAAATTTGGAAAAAATCTAACGGTAGATCTTTTTGGAATGAAGTATCCCATCACGTGACTGTCCTTCATGGCGACGTGGGGCAAGGTCATTGGAGCCACTGGCTTGTATCTTCATTCATATATTTATATACATTCCAATATGATATATATATCATTAGTTTAATAATAACTTTAATTCGTCGTTCATTACATATGAACGACGAATTTTAAAAAAATAAAGTATCTAAATAGGTTAACGTCATCAAAAAATAATAAAAAACATATTTGCCATTTATCCAACTATTCTTTCATATATTTTTAAATAACGAATGAACTTGCCAATTAACTACTGTTTAATTAATAATTTCGTGGAACGTAAATAATCAACAAGCGAATACCTCAATATTTCATTGAAAACTGCGTCGCAGTAAGGCAAATTTTTTTTATCTTCCAAGGATGGTAGGACGGATTTGTAGGTAGCAGTTTTGATGAAATTCATGTTCATTTCTAATAATTCAGTTTCGCTTTTATCATCTGTCAATAATTTTTCTGTTGATATATTTTTCGTTTTTTGCTCGATGTTCTTTTCTTTTTGATATTGTTTGCTTACGAGAGCTCTCTCAAGTTCTTTGAACATTTTCTCCTGAACATCCGGATGATTGGCCAGCAGCACAAGAGTCCATTCCAAGGTGCTGGCTGTCGTTTCAGTGCCTGCGAGAAAAAGTTCGCGCATGAAATGCAGAAGTTGTTCCTTGTCATAATCTGGACCTTCGAGTTCGATGTAGCTTCGAATGAAACTGGATGTGGGTTGATCTCCCTGGTCATCTTTCGGTTGGAGTTGGTAGTGGTTGTAGTAGGTGCTCTCTTTCTTGATGTCGTAATTATCTTCATCGGCCTGTTGCTCTGAAGTGGTGGATTCCTTATGGATATGTTCTTCAGCAAACTCCAATCCAACTGTACACTCGACTATTTTCTGTTCCAACATTTTGAAGACTTTGTTCCTTGCATCGAGGCTTGTTTTTAAAGCTTTCTTATAGAAGGAAAAGTGTCTAAATTGAAACAATTTTTTTAGTTTTCAACTTAAAAAATTAATTTCACTACAAAAACATCTTAATTGTGATATTACGGTTATTATATTCATTGAAAATAAACTTGTAACTGGCGTAGAAAAAACCTTAGAAACGGGAAAGTATTAACTAAGACAACTTTTCCAATGTTATTAAAAAATATTCTGATGTTTCCGATGTTATCGGACAGGTTCGGATCATCATCGTTGAATCGCTTGCCAAACAAAATTCCGCAAATAATATTCATGGAACAGTTGGAAATCACAGGCGTTGGAATGAATTCACGGCCTTTTAAAATAAGATAAGATTCCTTAACACCAATAATTTATAACAATAATCAAAAATATTTTTAAACTACTTGAAATTTTTTAAATTCATCAATTTTTGATACATTTATTAGCATAATTAAATGAACACTTATAACCATGCCAAACGAATAAATCTTGTCGAACCGTTTTATCATATAATATGAATGGAAACATTTTTTTCACAAAACATTTTATAACGTAAATAATACTATGCGAATTTTCATGTAGTCGGTTTAAATATCTAAACATTTTTACAAATTTCTACCTTTGTAACTGGCCAAGTGATCCATAAAGTACTTCATTTCCTCCATGATCCTCTTCTCCATCACTCTGTTGCCGAAGCCAAATTGCTTCATGATACCGAGACTCAGTTTGTGGTACTTTTTGAAGTTGTCGTCGTAATTGCGGAACATGATTCCTTCGGCAGGTTTGTAGTTTTTTTGTTGTTTTTACCACCAAGTGTAAGATTTATTTTTAAATGTTGTCACAAATTTGTTCAATTCAACCGGGAAAACAATAAAATAATTATTAAAAAATTAATTACAATTCGACATCATATTTTTTGGCTCGATTGTATCAGTTGATGACACAAATGGACAGAAAAATAGACAATAAATTAGTAGGAACAGGAAGAAGAAGTTTAGTTTCTATTAAAAATTTTAAAAAATCAGAACCTTTATGATTGGGATTAATCAAATGTGTGACACTGGTCCTAGGCCTACCCGCAAAGTCCGTTGATCTTTTCACGAAGGCTTCCTGTATAGCATCTCTGCTGTTTAAAATTACCTGGTAGCTGAAAGTTGCAACAAAGTGCAATGTAGGTAGGTGGTTTTTTAATGTGTCAAATGAGGCATTTTGATTTTAAATGCATTTAATAAATACGAAGTTGATTGCAGTTTTAATAAATAATGAAAATGTTTCTTTAATTCGTTAGCTTGACTTTGATTCAGTTTTTACGTTCACCATCTATGTTTGTATGATTACTTGATTTTACCAAATTAATATTTTAAAAAAACCAAATCACAATAAACGCACGGTAAAGCACATAAAAATTACTAATACTTAATTTTCACAAATAATGATGATTTTATTGAGCAAAAACAAAACATTGAAATAGAATTTCATTTGGATCAAACATTCTCAAAACCAGTACTTCCCCATCATGTAGTAGCCCACGACGTCGCCATACCGCTCTCTCATCTTAGTGAAGTACTTGTAATGTGTTGGAAAAGATGGTAGGAATGGTATGGATCCAAATATGGGAACAGTGGGAAGACAGGGCGGATGTCTGTACGTCGTTCCATCCCCCGCTATGATCGGTGCTGGAAGTTTTCGACGTTTGGAGAGTAGGAAGTATGAAAGTGCAAAGGTCACGGTCAGTAGGATGAAGGATGTGGTTGTTGTGGAGGATAAAAGTGATTGCAGCAAGGAATCTGCTAAGTAAAGGGTCATTTTGTTGCAGGTTCAGTAAGTATAGATCCGTTTAGATTTTGTAATTGTTGCCAACATAATGTAAGTTAATTTTATTACAGTTCCTTTATTATATTTATAATCCTGAAGTTGTTTAAAACATTTTCACGTCGCTAAACCAGTAAATATTTTATTATTTTCATTGCTGTGAGTTCATTATAGTTCATGAAAACGCTGTCGTAAATGACAAATATTGATGCTAGAGAGAGAGAGAGAGACTACAAAATGTTTATTATCAACTGCTAGTTAATGAATGTAAAACCAGACTGAAAATGTAATGTTAAATTGTGTTAACAATCCGAACTTTGTGTTAGTCGGTTAGTCAGAAAATCGTTGTGAACTTTGTGCTAGTACAATTTAAAGAGACTTTATCATATAAAAATAAACCGAATTAATAAACCTACTACAGATAATTACATTTTTTACTACTTCGTTCATGATGTACTGTACATGTACCGTACGCGATTGTTTAATTCAAGAAATATATAACTACCTATGAAATAAATTTTAAATGGGATATTAATTTTGAAAATTGCTGAATCGATTGTTAGTGTGATGTTTAAATTGCAGTTTTGGCTCATGAGATTAATTTCCATAATCATGAAATATATAAAATGTGAACCATCACTGGTATAAATTCTGTCACTCGTCAGCCAAAGTTTCATAGCGAAGTTTTTGTTTTGTTAAATGTACGTATATACGTCGCAGTACTTTATTACTTTATTAAGTTTTGAAGCAGTTTTTCGGACAATAATTGCTTTGGATGTTTCGAGAGGTTAACGTTTTGAATTCAATTTTGATTTATTTCAAGTAACCAGACACGAACCACGAAGGACGCAATGTTTATAACTGTTTATTCAAACTTTGAAATTTATAATCTATTTCAGGCCATCGTATAAGAAAACAAGGTAAATAAAAACTGGGAAAGTGTGTGTAGTTTAAAGAATTCAAGTAAAAAACTTTAAAAATTGTAATAAAAAAAAACTCTTTGGGTGAACGTTTAAAATGATTTTAATAGAAAATTTAATTTTAAAAATTGATAAAATTTTCTTTATTGTTTGATATTTAGCTATCACATGAACACTGTTGGTCCTATTAACACAAAAGAAGCAATAACTGTAGAACTCATTCATCCATAGTTACTATTTTGTCAGCTTTTATTGGTCTAGATTTAAAAATTATTTTAAATATTCAAAAATGATGATATATTAGTTACTTAACATCAAAATAATTATAATATTCAAACAAATAAATTTTCAAATATATTTTAAAATATGTATATGAGAGTTAAACATTCCTATAATTACTCAATCAAATGCACATTTTAACCCTTTTATTGCTTCCATCATCATAGCTACCATTATATCCATCAATCATTGACGAGACATCAGCTGCTAATTGCGCCTTTTCCACCGCATGATGTCACGACAGGAAAGGTGGAAAAATTAGAGAAAAAAACCCAACAAAGAGACCCAACCCATAATAATCCTTACGTGTCGTAATTATTATTAAAGTATGAATTTATTATTTCATGTTATTATTATTGTATAACTATTTTATACATAATGTTTTTATCTCTCGCTTTGTATATTTCATGAAATTTCATATTAACATCGTCTGGTTTTTGCCTGAATAATGTAGCACACAGTAATTGCTATGGTACTTTATTGCAGTGTTAATTAGTATGTCGTAATTTTAAGGTCTAGTGTAGTGTATAAGTCACATTGCCGAAACAAAGCTAATGATGTTAATAAGACAAGTTAACAATTAATTACAATGTTTGTGTTGTATTACAATATTTATGTATACAAGGATTTATAAAAATTTCGTAAGAGTCGGTACACTATAATGAAAAATATAAACTTTAAAAAATCGACTCTGCAGGGTTTATTAAAAAAAAATGTTTATAAGTAATTGAGACAAAGAAAAACCTAATTTGAAAATAATTTGAAAAAAATTTAAACAAGTCTACTTGCAAACTTCCTAAATTTTGAAAATAAATAAACACGAAAGTGGTTCACACGTTTGAAACAAATAAAAAACTTATTTATGTTTCAAGTAAACAAAACTTAACATAAACAACCATTAAACGAACAGGCTAACATACAAAACGGTAGTTTCAAAGTCGAAAATTATCCCACATCATTTCTAACAAACGACAACAGGAAGGACGAACCATTAAACATGAAACCGTGTAGTTCCCGCGTTTTAACTCCCTGGATCTAACTAACTATCACTTAATCGAGTCCAACACGTCATGCATATTTCAAAAGATCACCAGGCCCGTTCAATTCATGCATGCCATAATGGCTGTTATTATTTCTGCTCCATTAGTTGAAACTCGTTTGTGAGTATGGCGGTTGTAGGGGGTGGGTTTTTTGTTCTCTAGTTTTTTTCGTTCGTGTTGTTATGACGGTTAGCGTTGGTGAACGCGATGAACCTAATTGCGGTTCATAAGTTTGTCTAATTAGATGTTGGAGAACTAAATTCAATTTTAATCTTCCTTTTTATTTTTACTGAACGTTTATCTTAAGATGCAATCTAAATGTTTTTTTTCTATCTAGACATTTCTTTTGTAATTTTCAAAAATCATACACGTATACATCAGCCTATCTATCTATTCATTCACCTATCTATCAGTCTATCAAACTTATCCATCCATCCATCGAGCTGTTCATCCATCTTTCTATCCATCCATCCATCCATCCATCCATCAACATGGGTGGATGGATGGATAGAAAGGAATTATTGCTATGATGTCTCATTCTTTACGATAGCTCACTGTGTAGGCAGGCAGATGACAATGTTAATAATTTTTATAGCTCCCATCCAGCTATGTATTATGTGTTCGTGCATTATAAAAATGAGCTTTGTAACATTAGCAATTAATAATGTTGATGTTTTTGTTGTTGTTGTTGTATTTAGTCAATGCGTTGTATTTTGTCAACACATCGTTTTGAATGTAAAAGAACTTTTACAAATGCTAATAAATGAAATAAACACATGTGCGTATATGTGTGTTGCCAACATGTTGGCGTTCTTCGGACACAGGTTTTTGTTGTTTTTGACTATTTTCTTTCTAATCTCACTACTTTTTATTCTCACTATATTGTCGTCTGGTGCCTACAATGCATAATTTAAGTCATTTTTCCTCCATTCTTTTGTTAAACATGCCCAAAAAACTTTTCCATTATAATATCGTCTACAGTATAACCATTATTGCAATCACCATTGTTACTTTTAACAATAGGTTCTGTTATTATTTATGTTCTTGTAAAAGTTTATGTTGTAAAATGTAGTCGTTTTTGCTGTTGTCGTTGTTGTTGTTGTTATGTTGTTGTTGTTGTTGTTGTTGTTGCTGTTATGTTGTTGTTGTTGTTGTTGTTGTTACTGTTGTTGTCGTTGTTAGTTTTGTTGTAATGTTGGTTACATACCACTAATTATTATCAGTTAATTAGTATCAATTATTAGTATCAGTTAATTCTTTTTGCAACAATCATTCAGTTAGCTGAGACGCATGCATGCATGCACAGTACATTACCATGAGTGAGTTTTGTCACATCAGTAACAATGTTTTTGTTGATGTTGCTGTAATCCAAAAATGCGTTATCCTATTTAGTTAATGTCATCATGGTGATCTGAACTTATTACTACATTAATACTGTACGTGGAGATGTTGTGTGTGTTTCATGTCGTCTTTTCGGTTGTCACCAATCCGAGCATTTTTCCTAGCTTTCTGAATTTGTTTTTTACCTGCAAAAACGAGTAAAAAATATACATAGGTTACAAAACAAAAACAATGAATAACTTTTACATAACGTGAGAAATACGCCATTTCTGAAGCTACGGAACATGTATAGTTGTCAGTTATGTCAATAGAGTACGTAAGACAAGAATGTGTACGATGTGAATGATGTCTGTCACAAGTGCTGGATATTTTTTCATCCTTTATCGTTCGTTTTTGTTTGAGTGCAAATTTTTCTCTACATGCGCAAGTTTATTATTCAGTTTTTATATATCTCTATCTGATTTTGCAGATTAAGATACTTTTGAAAACATCCGTCTACGCGGTGTAAGAGTTAGGTTGGTTATTTATAACGAGAACGTTATATCATAATTTTTGAATGTTTTAATCTTTTTAAGATACCTTATTTTAAAAAATAATTTTCTGGTTAAATTAATTTATTTAAAAACTTATTTCCAATCTACATACTTCTTCTTGAATCAGATCGAAACACATGGCAATGAGGGCCAACCCAAAGAGGAGATAGACAGCGCAGACAATCATAAACTTTTTTGACCCGGGCTCATCCAACTTCACCCCTGGCACGTAATCTCCAAACCCAATTGTAGACAGAGTGATGAAGCAGAAGTACAAACACACCAAAGTGCTCCAGTCCTCGCTAGCACGAAATATCAACGAGCCAAGAGCCAGGTAGGCTAGCATGAGAACAAGACTGACGCATATAGGGACACGTATTTTATTGATGTCTTGTGAAGTTGACGTGGAAGGGATCGGTTTTAGAAAGAAAGTTCGGCTTTTTAATTTGTTTTTCATGGTTGTTTGAGGTGCTGAACTGGCTGAGTCTTTCATTGATGATTTGTTGTCAATATGTTTGTTGTGGCGTTGAAGACATGACAGGATTCGGTTTCTAATTGTTGTTGTGAATGATGGAGAACGTGTTGTCTGTGGAGTACAATCTGTAGAAGTTGAAGTAGATGTTGTCGGTTGTTTTGTTGTTATGAATGTTGTCGTCTGCTCTATTGGCTGCAAAGAGGAAAGTAGTTTGGCATTTTCTTTCGTAGTAGATTGATCGTTATTTGAACGCATTTTGTTCTGAAACAAAGTTTTATTAATAGTTTCACGTAAATATTTTATTGGTTTCTTTCTGTAAGAAATATTATGTCGATGCTGTTTGTCGTGTTTTTGAGGATGACTCTGGTCAGTATGATGTGTTTGTTGCTTTGTGTTCGTTGTCGTTGCTTTTTCGGCTGCAGATGACGTCTGGTAGATCGGAAATGTGTTATCGGGTTGACGTATCGCCACATATGTGTCAGATTTTTTTTTTCTGTCACACTTGGTTTTGTCGTCGTTGTTTGTTTTCATTGGGTTGATATGTTTTTCAGAGCCACTGAAATCTTTCACTGCGTTGTAATTTTCATATATGTTGATGTTGTTTTTCTGTCTTTGATGTTTGTTTTTTGTTGTTTTAGAATTTTTTGGCAGCTTTATAACTGTATGGTTCTCACGTTGATGAAATGTTGAATATAGATGTTGTTGCTGTTGTTGTGGTTGTTGCTGATGATGTTGTTGTTGATGATGTCGTTGTTGATGTTGTGGTTGATGTTGTTGATGATGTTGTTGATATTGCTGTGTTTGTTCTGATTTTGACGCAGCTTCAACTTTTTTCAAATTTTTTATTGAACCTGTCAGCAACGGCATACTTATCTGCATGAATGTTGCCGAAGTAAGAGTGACATTTTCAAAACTCGGTGTTGTTGTGTCTGTTGGTGTTACCGTTGTCGGGATTAGAGCTACTGTTGTTGATGTTGATGGAATTGATGCTACCGCTAATGTTGTTGTTGGTAGTGGTAAATATAATGTAATTTCTTCTGTTGATGTCGGTGAATTTTTTGTGGCTGGATTTGAAATGAATGTTGGCAAGAATGGCGCAGTGGCTGTGCTTGTTGAAGAAGTTAATGTTGTGGATGTCAACAATGCCGATGTAACTAACGTTTTTAATATTAGGACATCAGAGTTTTCGTTCCTGGGTAGCGATGGCAGAGCAGATGTTGCGTGAAGTGTTTCTGTTAATGATGAGGAAGCGGGCGACTCGTAATTTGCACTTGCTAATTGACAAGTTAATAATTTATAAAAGTTTTTGTTACTTGTGGTTGCGGTCAGTTTTGCTTCTGTTAAGAATGTTGTAGAATGTGTTGAAGATGAGGACGGTGACATTAATGATGTTGGTAACAGCGGTGTCACGGATGTTAATGTATCGGGAAGAAATTGTAATATATTTGTTGTCACTAAAGATGACGCTGCTGACGCTACTGATGTAGCCAATGTCGTAGCGACAAATGAAGTTTGAGGTGACGATGGTGATGAAGTTGTTGACGTCACAGGGTAGCTAGGGACTGAAAATGAATGAACTGATATAAAGTAAAATAAAGATAATAATTGTGACGATGATGAAAGAGATGTGATGATGTGAATTATTACATATTAAAACAGGGTTTATAACCATGCTGATAATAACATGATGACGACGATGAGGAAGATGTTGTTTTCTATAAAAACAAACTGATTATTAAAAATGATTTTGACAACGGTGATGATATTATTAATTAAAAGATGACAGCGGTGATGCATATAAACTAAAAAGTTTATAAAAAATCTAGCAAATAGTTTACACAAACCAATGAAAAATCAGTTTTTACCTGCTAATATCGTTGGCAAATTTTTGGTTGTTGTAGCGCGTTGGATGAAATTAGAGTTGAAGCCATCTAGATTGTCGCGGCCGTAATTGTTGCTGGCAGCAGCAGGGTTTTCAAAATTTATTTGGCCGTCAGGATTATAAGCGTCATATTCGTCCGTATAGTTGAAGAACTCGGTGTCACACATGAGGTTTCTATCTTTACCATTGTCACGTTTCTTAGCAGGAATGAACATGTTTGATTTGTTATCTGGTGTATTTTTAGTTTCGTAGTTATTTTTATTCATATTGTCAATTGCATCTTTATTGCCTGCGAAAATGTAAGACGCGCTGTTAGCAGTGCAGCAACAAATATTTTTATCTTGGTAGTCTATAAATCTGTTGATGATGTTTTCACTTCGGCAGCCTCCTCCACGGATGTTGTCTATGGCGTTAAAACAACCGCTGCTGCCGGCGCGATTAAGGCTTTTACAACATTCAATTTTTTTATTTTTTATTTCGTTTCCGTTCTGATGATGGTGGTGCTTATGCTGTTGTTGCTCATGTTGTTGGCTGGATGTGTTGATCGCCTTTTTATTACGGAAAGCATTATTATTGTGGGCTTCGTCGACTTCGTCTTTGAAGTTATTATCACTAAAATCAATATCACACATATTATTTGTAATATTATTATTAATATTATTATTATTAATAATATTATTACAACTCGTCAAAATGTTCGATTGTTTTTTAAATATCTCCATTCTCAGTCTGTATCCACTTTTCTTCTTACCAACAGTCACATTTGGAATGAGTTTATCGCTATCGTCGCCAACATCATCATCTTTTTCATCATCTTCACCATCATCATTTTCACCTTTATTTTTCCAATGTTCCTCATCATCATTCTTATCATTGTCACCATCTTTCTTGCTCAATCCTTTAATGCTTTCGCAACACCTGTATTTAGGGACTCTAATATTTCCAAAAGTCCTTCTCTCATTGACTTCATCGTCGTCGTCATCTTCATCGTCATAATTATCTTCATTATCATCATTATCATCAGCTGTTTTTGCATTTTTACTTCCGAGTAATTCTTTTTTATTATTTTTATTATTTTTCTTCTTCTTTCCATGACCATCATCGTCTTTAGTTTCATTTCCACAATTATCCCCATCATTCTCACAACAACTGACATTTTTATCGGCATTGTTGTATTTGCTATTGCTATTAACGTTATTAGCATCGTTAGTGTAATTAATGATGTTACTGTCATTGTTATTAATGCTATTATTGCTGTTGTTGTTGGCATATTTAGTTAAAGATCTCAGTATATATTTGAGTTGGTTATTTTTTTTCTTAAAAATTTTATACCAGAGAGATCTTTTTAACAATTTACCGTCTTTTATATCTCTAGCACGCTCGTGAAATCTTTCATTTGCCGAAGAATTGTTGTCATCGTTTAATACATTATCGTTATTATTATTATTATTATTATCATTATCATCACTATAACTACTTTTGTTGGCTATAGATGGTTCCAGGCGTCTCAAAAATTTTTCCTTTTCATCCTCATCATCATCCTCATCTTCACCATCACCGTCATCTTTATCGTCGTCGCCATCATTGTAGTTTCTACTCACAACCTTACTACCTTCCACTTCACCATCTTCAACAACTGTAGCACCACTATAACCTTCACTAAAACAGCAACAATAGCAGTTATCAGCAACTCCATCACTACCACCATTATTGCATGAAACCTTCTTACCGCAGCAGCAACAGCAGTAGCGACACACGCCACAAATTATGTAGCCGTATATAAACCTGAAGGCTGCGGCCATGATGGATCCTAAGTTAGTGATGGTGTAAAGGGTTAGGGGAATTCCTAGGATGGCGTAAAATATGGTGGCAAGTTGGCCCCAGGCCGTTTTAGGCGTTATGTGGCCGTAACCTGGTTTTGTGTGGTGATATTTTTTGTTGGTGTTATCTTGAATAATATAGAATAACCACATAATATAGCAGCAACATAAAATAATATTAACTACACAACATTTAGACATCAACTACCCGCCCATATGACATCAGACGCTGATTATCCACTCACAATGTCTACCCGACAAATGAATGATGAATAATGCGCCTGTCGTGCAATGTATACACACTCGTTTTAATAATTTTTCCTCAAGACAATTACTAATTACCTTCATTTGTATCATTTTTTTTACATGGGCATTTGCTCGTATTTGTGTTTTTTTTAAAAAAAAAAACCTCGTTAGTTTGCTATAATAACAAAAAAATCATTTGTTTTTTTTCTATAGAATCATTCAACAAAAATCGAAATTAATGATTTTAGAAAGAAATATATATTAACAAAGAGCCAAAAAAAAACATGGCACAACAATTTAGGTGCACCTTCTTATGTAGTACAAACTAGTTTTTAAATGCAAAAAAAAATTTCTGCACTACGCTATTTCTACACTAAAAGCGATTTCAGTTGGACCAGGTCTGTCTGACTGTTTGCATTGAATGAGGTTGTTCGATAATAGAGTACCAACATTATTTGCATAAAAGTAAAATGAAGTGTGTGTACGGCAAATGATTCAAATGTTTTGCACGCATTATGTGTATGTGCGGTGTGTTTGTGAGTGTGTGTGTGTGTGTGTATGTGTGTGTGTGTGTGTGGTGTGTATGTGTGTGTGTGGTGTGCATGTGTGTGTGTGTGGTGTGTGTGTGTATGTTTGTGTGTATCCGTTGGTTTTTTTTCAAAAATTACTTTTTTTCCATTCATTTTTATGGTTGCATGTTGCATTAATCATCGTATTCAGAATGGATTGCCAAATGTACGTATGCACATTTGTGATAAATGCAAATTATAAATCATTGTTGAATTTGAAAAAAATTGCGTGTAAAATCATAGGAATATAAAAACAATCATTGAGTAAGTAATTAATTTTTCATAATGAAAAATACATCTTTGAGAATAAAATTTTGGAAAATGAACCCCCCGACAGATCACTAAAAGAGAAAAATATTGAAGATTCCGAGTATAACATACTAATAAAGTGAATTTTAGTTAGCAAACAAATGGTGAACAACTGAGAATTTTTAAAATAATCATTCTCTCGTTCAAAACAGGATTTGCGAGAATTTTCCGAAAAAAAGGTCAAGCTTTACAAACCTAACAATTTTGAAATCATCCCTACTACTGAAATATTGCCGGCAATTTTTGATGTTGAGTTGGGAGAAAGTTTTATGATAGCATGCCTCTGCTCATTTCAAAGTAGTAATTTGTTTTCATGAGGTTCTTTTAATTCTTTTCTGCTTCTCGTGAGTGCAACGTGGTTTTTAATTTTGTTTCTATGCATTTATATTGTCAGGTTGTCAATGTAAATATGACGTTTTGTTTGTGTGTTGTCATTATTGCTTAGTGATCAAAAATTCTTTGAAGGGTACACTTTTGTATCAATTTATTCATTGTTTCGTTGATATTTTAATTAAATATTTTGGGTGAAGTCTGTTTTTGTTGAGCTCGATCGTTAGTTAGAAATGTTTTTAAATTTTTTGTATAGGGATTTTGTTGTCTAGGATCTTTTTATCTGCTAGTTGTTTTTTTTTATGTTAATGAATTGTAAAAAAAAAGAACTTTGAAATTCAGAAGTGACGTCATCGTTGAGTTTGGATTTCAAACTGGTATGATAGTTTTAGAATTGAAATATAGACTGAAATGAATTGTTTTTCAGTTACCATATAGTGTTGGTTTGCAAGTTGCAAATTAAAAAAATTAAATGAACGATCGGATGAAAAACCACGAAATTTTTAAAAGTATTGAACGAAAAGATGAAAAGTTATTTGCCGCCAACAATAATAACAACGCAAATCGGAAATAATATTTGCACTAGCCATAAAACATTGCATTCAATTTAGGATCCAATCACATTGCAAAATATTTGATCCCCAGTCAAATTCAGGCTTAGGCCACACCACTGACAATATAAAGGTCGGCAAGTTTTTAAATGAAATTACATTAGAGTTTTATTTTTTCTAGAGAAATTGATTTTTTGGTCGTCAGGTATTTCGTCTATTGGTAACGATAACTTGTTTTATTTTTTTTGGATATGGTGATAGCAAATCAGCGGACATGTTGAATTTTTATAAGAAATAATTTTATATTAATTAATACTATGAATTATTTAATTATAAATATTTTTCAAATACATCCAATACAAATCCCTCTACTAAATGTTTCAAGTAAAAAAATTATTTCTACCTTTTTCATCCGCTCAAAAACAGTAAGTAGTTTGAAGCTTTGAAAACCTTTCAACAATTTTTAAAAACTAATAAAAAAAAGAGATTCTAATTAAGTCAAAACAGATGCATATAGTAGTCGGAATCGAAGAGATCAAGTTCTCAGGCTTTATGGACATCAAATATGTCGACACTTAAATAGGCGGCGAAAAATATCACATGACGTCATAATAACGTAGAAAGAAAGAAAGGAAGCGATGATAAGAAGAGTACGATGACGATGTAGAAGATGATGGTGTTGGGTACAAATTATTCCTACTTTTGTTGATTTTAGCACCTAAATTTTTATACGGTAGTGAGAATTGTGAAACTGAAACATAAGAAGTGTTTCGATGAAAATTTTGATAATGAAAGTAAAAAGTTCACGACAACTTCACCGGCGATGATGATGACAAATGATGACATGACGACAAAAATGACTATTAAGACGATGATGATGGCATAGAACGTGCTAACTTGATAATATGTATAGCGCTGAGACGATGATGATAAAACTGAGACGGTTATATTTGTTGAAGAACTTTTTTAATAAAATGTTTTATGACATAAAAGACATTTTTATCATTTCAATCTTCATAATCAAGGTCTGCAATCTTAGAAATCATCATCGTCGTCGTCAATGTCATTATCTTCGTCATCACTTTCTTCATCATCTTAGTCATTATCAATCATAAAAAATATGAAAAAGTTTTGATAGTTTTTTTCGTTGTAAAAAAAATCAATCATTTGATGCAAATCTTGACATTTTATCAAATTCAATCATAACCATTCAGAAATTTATTTCAATTTGTCATCCTTTCTATCGATTCTACTATCATTATTAATTTATATTTTAATTTATTATATATTTATTATTATTATTAATTTATTGATCTATCCATTCATTCAATCATTCATTCATTCAATCATTCATCCATTCATTAATTTGTTATATTCATTCATAGATAATAAAAATTTTGAAAAAAATTGTGAAAGAACTAAATACCTAAGACATTTCTTTCAGAAAAAGTGTTTAAAAAAATCCTCTGCTGATTTGCAGCTACCATTGTCAGTTCTTTCACGAATAATGTCTGATTGTCCTAAACTTTCTGCAATTAACTTTTAGGTCATCCAGTAGATATGTCTCGTAAAAACACACACATGCATAAAATGATTTCATTGCAAAAATTTTTATATACAAAAACAAACAAAACAAAAAAAAATTAAAAAAAAATGTTTATAGAAAATAATAATTTCGTAGTAGTAGTAGTAGTAAAAGTAGTAGTAGTAGTAGTAGTAGTAGTAGTAGTAGTAGTAGTAGTAGTAGTAGTAGTAGTAGTAGTAGTAGTAGTAGTAGTACAAGCAGCATCATCAGAAGTAATTGTAGTAGTGGTGGTAATAGTAGCAGTTTTAGTAGTAGTAGTAATAGCAGAAATAATAGTAGTAGTTGTAGTAATAAAGATTGTGGCAGAAGTAGAAATTTGTAAGAAGTTAGAATTAAGTCATCTCCTTATGATAAGCAATGACCCTACAAGGAAATGCTTGTTTGTGTAGCAATAAATGATTATGATAACTTTTTTGCCGGACGTGATTCGTCATCACCATCATTGTCATCACCATCATTGTAATCACCATTATCGTCATCACCATTAACATATTCATCATCTTCATCACCAGATCTTTTTTATCATTACCATCACAATTTCTCGTGGTCACCCTCATCACCATCGTAATAAATCATCACCATCTTGGCATCATTAGCAATATCCGCTCATCATTTTGATAATTGTTTCTAAGAGATTAAAATAAAGGAAGGCATTAAATAATTAAGATGGATTAATAAATGAAATTTGCACCTGAACGAACATGTATGTAAATAAGTGCATGTAAACACACACATATATATGTGTGTGTGTTTATGTGTATGTCTGTGTATCTCTGTGTGTGTGTGTGCCTCCGTGTGTGTGTTTCTGTGTGTGTCTCTGTGTGTGGATGAGTGTGTTTTTATAGGTGTCTGTTTGGGTTTGTAAAAGTACAGTAACTAAATTGGTGGCGAGCATATTAATGATGAAAAAAAGTCAATACAATAAAACGAATAAAATCGTACTTGAATAGGAAGCAATGTAATTTGAAAAATATTAACAATAACAATAATTAATTAATCAATTAATAATAAATACTAATGATAAATAAGAATAATGTTAATAATAAGAATAATAATAATAAACCAAAGATCTAAAAGTTATCAGCAAAAGTATGGCAGCACTAATAACGGAACGTGCACTGACAAAAGATAATAAATGATCATCAAAGAAAACTGAAACATCACCAATGAACGCAAATAACAAAAAAAAATAATAATAATAATAAAGGTACGCCCGCTATCTTGTGATTTATGAGAATTGGCATTGATGTTGATGGTGTAGTTTGTTGTTGTTGTTGTTGATGATGATGATGTTGTTGTTGTTGTTGTTGTTGATGATGTTGTTATTGTTGTTGTTGTTATTGTTGATGATGATGTTGTTGTTGTTGTTGGTCCAATGTAATAATAATAACATTAATAATGATAATAATTAATATAAACGATTATTTTATATTTTAAGTTTTTTGGTTTGATTTATTCTTCAATTATATTTATATACCCCTACCACTTCTCTTTTTTCAGAG